TTCATGGCATGGAGATTCAGATGGCGTTGTGAATCGCTTTACAGTCTTTCGAGAGCTTAAACTCCCCCAGCAAACTAGCCTAGCCTGTGTGACACAAGCGAAAGCAGGTTTTCGTGTGGGTTTACAGTGGAAAATGGAACATAACACTTGCAGGTTGAATCAGATTGTTTGTCTGCAACATGAACAAATTATTCACATGTTAGCAAGAAAGACTGAGTGTGTGAACTGTGTGTGTGTGTGTGTGTGTGTGTGTGTGTGAGTGAAACAGGGAGAGGGAGGGGAGGAGTGCCCGCAGCCAGCAGCTCTGGCCTAGTGCGCTTTCAAATGCCAACGTCAGAACTGTTTTCAGCACAAACACTGTGAATTATTTTACCCACAGGACGTCGAAATAGTCTTGAAATCTGCTTAATGTTGAATTCCTTGCGACCGCGCTGATTTATCAGAGGAGTTGATGATGTTTTTGGCTTGTATTCTTTGCCCCTGTCCCTTTAGCATTCTCGAGCGCTCAATGATCACACGAGTTATAGTAAGTCATTCAGGGATTTTGTGGCTTTCTGGCCTGAATATGTAGCATGAATATTCTGTTTGTGAGTCTTTATTATTGTTGAGGGGGAAATACAAGGCACTAGTGCTGCGGTATGTGCTGACACCTCAGAGCAGAGTGCAGGCTAAAAAATCTCTGAGTGAGTATGAGAGCTCCCACGAGAGAGACAGCTAAGCTGCAAAGTTCACCAGGTAGCACAGCTTTTTATATGTAGTGTAATACTGCTATTTTTTTTATTATATGATAACATTTAAACAAAAGATGATCTGTTCGATTTAGCTTCATTATTTTAATTAACCCCTTCAGACCTGAATTATGTTCCAAATTTCAGAAAAATGGGATGTCATGTGATTTCCATTGTAATCGATGCAGGGTCTGAAGGGGTTAAACCTGTAACTAGATAAACAATGGCCTCAGTATGCGTTCTTGCGTCCTCGTGTTCATCATCAACCGCCAAAGTTCAATTCCAAAACTCAAGGCAGCAAGAATGGAGGTTGCGTAAAAGTTCTTGGATGTGTTTCTGATATCGAGGATGCATCGAGGCAGATTTTTCTGAAGTCCCTGAAGTCATTATGGCTAAATGAAGGTAGGGAAAACTCAGCGTTTTATATATATTTAATATTAAAGTTTAGAGATATAACTTATTTGTCTCAGGAGTTTCCCTAAATGAGATGGTGATAGTAAACATTATCATTTATAAAGGCATAAACACATTAAGGGTGTTTATTTGCTGAAATTCTTATTAGAATTACTTTATTTGTATTGTGCAAAGTATATTTGTAAGGTAACAATAAATCGTTGTATGAAAGCTGTAATGTTTAAGTAGTTTTCCATTAAAAGCGCGTAAGATCATGTGATCATCAGAAAGAATACAGCATCTCATTTACCAGAAGACATGTTCTCTGTTCTCACGGTCTCCCGAGTACGTTCTTTCGAGGTAACTGGTCTCCATTCGTTCTCAGTGTTCTTGTCATTTAGAAACAGCCTCTGTGTATCTTAATAGGCTTTATTTATTGGTGTTTTAACACTTGGTTTGATTAAATTGAAAATGTTGCGATTGCTCAGTGTCTTTCATTTTGTTTGAATAAAAGTGCACTCTAACATTCAAATCCTGGTGCCAAAACAAGTGAAACTCTCGATTCACTTTTATGTAGTTTGACTGAAATAGGAATTTATTACAGACTAACGATGTCTAAACAGAAAACAACCCAGAAATATCACATCACTGAATTAAAAAGGATGCTCAAGCAAAGCTGATTTTTGCTTGTCATAGCACAGTGTTACCCATAATAGATTTAGTCAGGCATCGGAAACATATTACCATGCAGAAGATCTTAGTTTGCTGCTCTTTTGACTCCTTCATACATTAATTAGCTCTTACCCACTGTTAAAAATACCATCACATATACATAAAATGAGCATCATTAGTGCAGCACACAGCGTTGTTTTGAAAGTTCTATTGTAAAATATGAAGCTTTATTAATAGTTTGTATCATTATGGTTAAAAAAACATACACTTTTAATGATAATTATACACACACACACACACACACACACACATATATATATATATATATATATATATATATATATATTTTTTTTTTTTTTTTTTTTTTCTTCTGGCGAAAGTCTTATTTGATTTATTTAGACTAGAATAAAAGCTGTTTTAAATTTTTAAGGTCTAAATTTTTAGTCCCTTTAAGCATTTTTTTTTTTTTGACTGTCTACAGTACAAACCGTCATTATACAATAACTTGCCTAATTACCCTAACCTGCGTAGTTAATCTAATTAACCAAGTTAGGTATTAAATGTCAATTTAAGCTGCATAGAAGTGTCATAGAAATATATACTGTTGAAGTCAGATTTATTATCTCTCCTTTTAATCATTATTATTATTTTTTTATATTTCCCAAATGATGTTTTACAGAACGAGGAAATTTTCACCGTATGTCTGATAATATTTTTCTTCTAGAGAAAGTCTTATTTGTTTTATTTAAGCTAGAATAAAAGCAGTTTTTAATTTTTTTAAAACCATTTTAAGGACACAATTATTAGCCCCTTTAAGCTATATATTTTTTCTAATAGTCTACAGAACAAACCATCGTTATACAATAACTTGCCTAATGACCCTAACCTGCCTAGTTAACTTAATTAACCTAGTTAAGCTTTTAAATGTCACTTCAGGCTGTATAGAAGTGTCTTGAAAATTTTCTAGTAAAATATTATTTACTGTCATCATGACAAAGATAAAATTAATAATTTATTAGAAATAAGTTAATAAAACTATTATGATTAGAAATGTGTTGAAGAAATTTTCTTTCCGTTAAACAGAAATATATAATTTTTTGTTCATTCCAGGCCAAACAAACTAGAATTTTGCATGATGTATTGGACAGACTATTGCTGAAATGAGTCTGATGAGAGGTGATGCATGAGACAGACCAAACAAACTAGCCCAACATCCGGCTGTCAGCATTAAGCTAGTGTTGTTCGGATTGAGTTATAAGAGAGATATAAACGACAATCAAAAAGCTTGTTTAATAGCATAAACCAGTGGTGATTCAGAATGATTTAGAATAATCATTGCAAAGTCAATAATTAGAGGTCTTTCCCTAATCTCATGTAGAACAGAACACCTGCTTTCAACGCCCAATCAATTCTCAATTTGATCAAATCAAGCCGTGCCCCATTTATTCCATAGAAAAATTTGTATCACTAGGGAACAGATCATATTAGGGAAGTGAAATGGATTGCAAATAGTGTTTCACACAGATTATGATGTTAATGACAATAAAAGACGGGAAATGATCACTCTTCAGTAAATATTTTGCTCCGATCTTTTGCAGCTCTTCATATTAGGATAAGATAAATGTAGGCATGGGGCGATAACCGTTTTTAAGGTATACCACGATTTGGAAAAGTCAAGGTTTTAAAACCACCAACATTTTCTGCTATACCGTTCCTACGGTATGTGTTAGTAGTTTTATTTATTTTTTTTTTTTTAGGACAACAGTATCTCCAGCAGAAAAGATATCCAAAGATGCCATTTAAAAGGTAAAGAAATCAGTGTTTTTAAAACTAATGAAGACAGCAGAAGTCCATGATTCATTTGAATTATTTAGCCTGACTGGTCCAAAATATGTTTCTCAAAAAAAATAAAAAATATTGTGTTCAGAGCTAAAAAAAACAACAAATTTTTTTCTGTTTTACCCAGACATTTAAAAAGAATATATTTTAGAGCAGTACCGTGGAACCGTGGTATTTTTTTATCCAAGGTTATCATACAGTCAGAATCTTATACCGGCCCATGCCTAGATATTCAACACATATAAATGACATTAAAGTTCTTTCCCTTGTTTTGTTATCACCTCACCATTGTTAACTGTTTGCCTCTTTGAGGCTACAACAGGCTGATTTGAGCTAAACTTTTCACTAAGAGTTGCCTAATCTGTCCCTTGACAAGGAACTCCATCCCAAGCACAGCTTCATAGAGATGCACTTTCTGATGACATCGCAACACATCTCTACTAATGGCTTCATAGTCCTGCCCTGGAGCGGCACCATCCCTGTTCTTACGTAATGATTTACATTTTTAGCTATGGTTGTTACGGCCTCAGCAGCTGGCAGAGTTGGGTTTTACACAATAAAAGAGACACCTAAATTTGTAAAGCTTTCTCCATCTAATTAGCATCACGCTTTCGCTAAGCACCCGGCCATGCATTGTTCTCGGGATTGTTTTTTTTTTTGGCATGAGGGGTTGTTTGGACACTGGGTCAGGTTGGGGGAGGGGCCCTAAAATAAGCTGTTAATGAGTGAACACTTATACTCAGGTGAAGATTAAGGCTAGGGGCTCTGCGTAGCCTTGGCAGTGAGCTGTCATTAGGCTTAACAGTTCTTGTTATGATACATGTGCTGTTATCTTCGCAGTGCAGATTTGAAATGAATATTAAATCGGAACTTATTTTAACTCAACTAAATACAAAATCAACTGGAGATGACCTTAGATTAAATATTCTATAATGGTAAGTTTCAGATATGTAAAACTACTACTACATTTTTAGTCTATGCTACATTATTGTCAATAGATTCAACTCAAGCAAAGCACATTCATGCTCTGCATTGACTATGTATACACAACTACCACTATACACAAACAGTTTTTTAAGGTTTGCAGCTAGTAAGTCTTTCTTGTCAAGACCATGATGCTCTTTGAGCTTTGCATAGATTACGAGTGATTCGTTTCTTCAGTGCTGCCTCAGGTCTCTGTCACAATCTCATCTTCGTGTACATCTAAGCATATACATGGCTTATTCTCCAGGGCTCATCCACACTGCCGTCTCTCAATCGTGAGAGAGAAACAGCAGTCTCAGCCTCTGTGCTTGTTTATCACCACAGAATTTGTGTACCTCTTTTTGCTGTGCTTTATCGCAGTTAGACAAAGAAGGTTTGTCTTACCTTACGTAGACGCAGCTATTTCCATCACATGCTGCTGCATGCTTCATTCATTAAAAAATCCCTCCATCTCTCACTCTTTGTCTTTGTCTTTGTGTGGCTCTCTTGATTTCTTTTCGTCCTCTTCTTTGTTTATGGTCAGAGCATCCCTGGATTTGTGCTGTGGCTTCTGAATCAAAGTGGAAACGCTGGCTGTAATTAGGAGCCTTGGGGACGAATCTGCCGGTAGATCTCCCCCGTTTTCCTTCCCCCCCTGTCAGACGCGCTCTCACTCAAGCCCACAATTCGAGAGAGAGGGACGTTGGCAAGACCCTGCAGTAATGGTGTGGTAATTTGCTTGGTGGTTGTTCTCTGTCTCTCCCCCTGATTTCTCCGTCTTCATTCAGCGTGGCGGTCGCGGCTCAGTCGAGCTGTCAGAACGCATGGAGACACATCTGTGAATGTGTTTATGTGGCTCTAACGTAGCCTCTTCGGCGAGGCAGAGACCCCCTCCTTGCTCAAGATGTGCTCACTAATGGCATGTACCATTATGGCTCAGAGCAGGGTGGGCTGTGAGGGAAGGAGGGGGAGAGAGAGAAAGCGTGAGGGGGCAAGTAGGGAAATAAAGAAGGTTGGTAGACTGATGAGTGGATGTTAGCAATTCTGTGCATGTGTGCATATACTCTTATAGATTGCTTCTTTTCATTGTATATTAGTCAAAACAGTGAATGTACTGCACTTTAATTTGTACATCTAGATTTAAAGAATGCTATAATGTCATTGATATCTGAATTGCAACACTGTAATACATGCAGTTTGATAGCACTATTTTAAGGTGTTCTTGTTACACTGTTCCATGTATTTAATATTGTGATTACAGTTAATTATGCATAATTATATACAACTAACCCTGGACATAACCCTCATCCTAACCTTAACCATGTAGTAAATGCATGTAGTTATTAGGAATGATGATCAGTAGTTAAATGGATAGTAACACTTACTGTTAAAAGAACACCTTAAAAATAAAGTGTAACCCTAATTTCACTCATCCTCATGTCATTCCAAACCTAGACAGTTGCAAAACACAAAATCATTTACAATGAGCACTGCCGCCTCACGGAAAGGAAGTCACTGGTTCTGGCCCCGGCAGTTGGCATTTCTGTGTGGAGTTTGCATCTTCTCCCTGTGTTCTGGCTGCTCCGGTTTCCCCCACAAGTCCAAAGACATGCGGTATTAGTGAATTGGGTCAGCTAAATTGTCCGTAGTGTGTGTGTGTGTATGTCCTGGTCCTCCAGGTTGGAGGTTGAGATTTGGGTTAACCACTCACCTCGTGAAAAAAATTTATTTGACGAAATGCCAGCATGGTGTGGCTAAATATCAACTTCAACATAAACAACCCTGGGAGTAAGTAAGTTTGTCACAATTATGTACACACTATTATTGTTTCAAACAGCTTTTTACAAAATTAATTCTAAACAAAATAATTCTGAAGCATTGTTAGAAGTGACACAGGTGGCAGCAAAGTAAACTGCATCCAGCAAATCATTGTGCTTAATTTTACATACATTGCGTAATGTACAATGATAAAACAATGCCTCAATGTACTCACAACATTTATCTTCATTAATTGAATAATAGATTATTTTTGCAGTGATAACAAATGCCATCTAAGCTTCTGAGAGATACATTTAGGGGGTTTTCACACCTGCATTATTTAGTTCGGTTGAATGGCACTACAGTTAATTTTCCCTCTTGGTGTGATTCATTTGAGCTGGTATGAATGTAGCAATCGCACTTGAATGCGCACCAAAAGCAGACCAAAAAAGTGTACCAAAACCTCCTTGAGAAGATGCTTTCAAACGAACCCTGGAGCAGTTCGTTTTTGTTGTGAGAACATGACCTGAACTGGAAAAACCAAAAAAAGGACTGCTCTTTTAAGGACTCCAGTAGTCCAATGTGCGGTCCCATCTTATGGAGTATGGAGGAAAAATATTTGTTAACAGCGCTTGATCAACTATCTTAAACAGAGAGAGAGAGAGGGATAAACATTACCGGATGGATAGTTGGTAATATTTCCGGAAGATGACTCTGTTGCAGTTTAGCTAAATTAATTTACGCCTCCTCCTGAAGTGACTTACCATGTGCCTTCGCTGTTTGCAATGCATTAAAACATTGTCCTCCAGCCACAGCTGCACTTCATCCTTGAAAATGATTAGTTTGTCTAAAGTGATGTATACAAACTATATAGTATATATGACCAGGGATACAATCGGGTCAGCGCAGTCATGCCTCCAAAGTAAAAAGCGACATTTTGTGTTTGCCGGTTTGTTCACTTGCAGAAGTTCCTTTTACATTTTCCCACACATTAATTCTGACCAATCAAAAAGCAGTTTAGGAAATACATTTAATAACATCTGGCCAATGAGGGATGTGGATTTTGTCACATGACTGCATTTTGGTTCTTTTTAACTGATTTGAACCAAAGCAGTCAGTGTGGTGTGAAAAGGACCCAAAACGGCAGAAAAATGCTACAATATATAATTTGTTGCCCTTGGTCCAGACCAAATGAACAAAACCACAGATGTGAAAACACCCTTAGATAAACATGTAAATCCTGGGACACAACTAGACATCATCAAAGTACTAGTTGTGACAAAAATCCCTGTGTGTTCTGTTTTAACCTTAAAATGGTTTTCAAAAAATGCAAAACTGCTTTTATTTTAGCTGAAATAAAACAAATAAGACTTTTTTTTTCTAGAAGAAAAAATCTTATCAGATACTGTGAAAATGTCCTTGCTCTGTTAAACAGCATTTGTGAAATATTTAAAAAAAGAAAAAGAGGGGGTTCTAATAATTCTGACTTCAACTGTACAAACCATTAACAGTGTTTTCATACCATTTTCACAGCACTTCTTGCTCACCACAACTCACAGAAATAGGTCTGATAACCCATATCATGTGCAAACATTTGAGATGTAACCAAATGACAGCTAGCTTTTTTTTGTTCCACCTTGACTTGCTTCATATGCTTGATTTTATGACTTGGTTTTATGGTTCTCATTCTTAGTTTAAAAGGATAGTTCACCCAAAAATGAAAATTTACTTCCCCTGAAATAGTTTATTTCTTCTGTTTAACACAAAAGAACCTGTAACCATTGTCTTCAATTGGAAAACAAAATACTGTAGAAGTTAATTGTTAAATATTCTCAGTTTTTTTTTTAACTATATAAATTTGACAATGTGAGACAACAGTGAGACTATAGAAAAATACCTAATTAATAATAATCTCTTATTTTCCAAAGCATCTACATTTTTTTCTTTTCTTTTCTTTTATTTTTTAAATCTTTTTAAATCTAAACTATAACTTTGGCATTACTAGCACCATACTATATTATGTGATCTACTAAAATATCAGAAAAAAAGTTTTGTTCCCAAAACTGATATCCATCTACTAATTAATAATATTTTCAACACTCAAAAAAATGGCAAAAATCAGAAATTTGAGCCATATAATATATATATATATATATATATATATATATATGCTTTCAATACATGTATTTAAAAAGTAGATAGATTCATTCATTCATTCATTTTCTTGTCGGCTTAGTCCCTTTATTAATCCGGGGTCGCCACAGCGGAATGAACCGCCAACTTATCCAGCAAGTTTTTAACGCAGCGAATGCCCTTCCAGCCGCAACCCATCTCTGGGAAACATTCACACACACATTCACACACACACACTCATACACTACAGACAATTTTGTCTACCCAATTCACCTGTAACGCATGTCTTTGGACTGTGGGGGAAACCGGAGCACCCGGAGGAAACCCACGCGAAGGCAGGGAGAACATGCAAACTCCATACAGAAACGCCAACTGAGCCGAGGTTCGAACCAGCGACCCAAGGACCTTCTTGCTGTGAGGCGACAGCACTACCTACTGCGCCACTGCCTCGACTGTAGATAGACTATTGTGTATCCATATTGTTGGTGGGTAATATGGATATGGATCCAAACAAAAATACAAATCATATGCAATGCATTGCAAAGGCACTCTTGTGACTCAACATGAATGCTATGCAAATCATTTTGGAGTTAAAAAAGGCAAATGCAAAAATGTAAATGGTACATGTTAAAATGTGCACCTTGTAAAGGAGAGGTTGCTATGAATATGAATCAGACTTACAATATCTGCCAAAAAACAAGTGAAGAAATCCAAACACCTGTCTTAAAAGGAACAAGAATATCTGGATCTGGGTGTTTTAGAGACATGGTGGTTGGCTACCCTAGCAACTACACAAAACACCCTAGCAACCAAGTACAGAACATCATAGAGAAATGAGGGTAGGCTATATTTAACTTAAGACAAAATAGCACCTCTCACGTTTTCTTCAAAAATGTAGCTCGTTTCTATATCTGTTCAAAGCCCTTACTGTATGTGACTCTTTTAAATGTCATTTTATTACAGCCTCTCCTCCCATCCTCCCTTGAGAACCAATTCTTCTCATTTTAAGGTAAGACGCTGTAAAGTGAACAGTTGTCATCATACTTCCCTAGTTGATTACCGGGTCCCACTTTATATTAAGTGGCCTTAACTAAAATGTACTTACACAAGAATTAATAGTTTGTTACAATGTACTTATTGTGTAAATACATGTATTTACTGTGTACTTATGCTTGATTAAATACATGTATGTAATTACATCTGTAATTAACTTTTGTAATTAAATTTGTAAATACACTGTTGACCATTCCTTACACCTTAACCCACCCTTAAACCTACCCATGCCACCAAACCTGTCCATAACCCAACTAATCCAACTACAAGTGTTCTCAAATACATTATAAACAAAGTACGTACATTGTATTTATTTTTTGTTGTAAGTACATAGTAGTTAAGGACACTTAATATAAAGTGGGACCTATTACAGTTAATTTTTTCCAAATTGCAATACTTCATTATCCAAAAGATGCATTTGTTTATTAAACATGCACTAATTTACATACATAGCTTGCACAAAAATCTGAAATTCTGAATATTGGATGTAGTCAGGTTCATAATACTTGTTTTATTATACACATTGTTTTATTATTATTACACATTATTACACATTAGTGCTTTTTTTAGAGGACTTTTAAAATCTCTTTTTATCGTAATTCATAAAATGGCAGAAAAAAATCCATACTTTTTGTTTTAGAATAAAATCTAAAGTCAAACAATGTATGAAAAAACCCATCTGTAAAAACCTTCAGAATATACAATCACCGGCCAAACTTTAAAAGGTACTCCTGTCCAACTGCTCGTTACCTCAAATTTCCAATCAGTCAATCACATGGCAACAACTCACTGCATTTAGGCATGTAGACATGGTCAAGAAGATCTGCAATCATCTCAGACTTGTTTCTTGAACATGACAATGTGTTCACTGTACTCAAATGGCCTCCACAGTCACCAGAATCCAATCTAATAGAGCCCCTTTGGGATGTGGTGAAACAGAAGATTGTATAGACTAAAATCTTTGAGCAATATTCTCAGTACCTTGATAAATT